TGTGCTATACAAATACAACTACAGTTATTATTCAACTACAGTTATTAGTCATTATGAAACTGTGATGGGACAAATTACAATATAATTAATGGGAAACAAGGAATGCCTAAAATGTGCATCCGACTGAATCAGGAATTGTCCGTGGAAGATGGGCATATAATTGTCCCCTCATGGCCCTCGATTTAGAAAAATCCTACAACCGCCACTGCTCGGTTGCCAGTGAAAGTACTGCATTCATTATTTTTTTACTCAAAGCAAGTAGACAGGATGTACTTGGTAGAGATAGGGAATAATACATAGATAGAAGTGGTGGTGTAGCCCCTGGGTGCGGTGCATGGATGAGAAGGACATGGGCGGACCCCTCCCCGGTCTCTGTCTCCCCCTGCTCCGCACATCACGTCCGCCGGTGCCCTGCTCTCAGAGGATGCTCCCTGCGCTGCGCACCGTGTTGAATGTCGGACTGCACCATTCCTGCCCGTCTCCACCGGGGAGGCTGTAATCCGATCCCGTTCGGAGGAGCCGTCGTGCAGCCTGTGAGGAGGGAGAGGGCACTGCTCTGCGCTCTGACGCGCTCCCCCGGCACTCCTCCCCCTTTTCTGCCGAGTGTCACCCTATCTCTCTCCCTCTCCCTCGTCTGTTCACTCCCTACTCGGCGAGGCTGGTCGGCGGCTCACGCTCCAACCTCCGGGAATCGTCGCATCGCATTGTTCACCCACCGATCGTTTCAGTCTGCGTGTCACGGCGGAGCTTCTACTTTCCTCCACCCCTTCTCTTTTTATCCACCCCCCCCTCCCTCCTCCGATGGCTTTACCGGGGGAGCCAGCTGGACGCGCACCGGTCCGGTGAGCATGTTCACACCAGAGGCGGATTTACCTGAGAGTCCTCTGCCCTCGCACTGTCATCGCTGCCTCCTCTCCGCGCACACAGAGCCGCACTTCACCCGCTGTCACTGAAGAGGAGGAGAACACACCGGATTACAAGGATGGGGTTCTACGGCACTTTAAAGATGATTTTCTACAAAGTGAGTAGAGCCGTGCGCCTGCATCGCGTCACCTTCCAACGCGTCTGCTCGGTGTTTCAATGCCGGACTCGCTCTGTCGCCCTCATTATCTTTGACGCGCCTCTCTCGGCAGATTGTGCGGCCACTGCGGAGGATGAGCAGCAGCGTAGCAGACCCCCAGAGACGCTGCTTTATAAGTGCCCGGGCCTTTATGTTGTGTTGGGTTAGCTCTGCGTAATTGTCATACCGCGACGCGGTTTTTTTGGCATCCCCTTCCCTTCCTAGTAACTTCAGTCACGTAAATAAAACGCCGTGATTCAGTGTCTGTGCACCAGGGTTTTGGCATTTTGGATGCAGATATGTGCGTAATTTCTGCGTTATCTTCTACTGAATTTCGCGTAGGAATGACATGATCCAATTTTTTTTGCCCTAGCGTTGGCTCGATGCTCTCTGCACCTGAACGTCAACTGTGGTCCTCCCTTTTCGCATAACCCAGTAACTACAGCATGCAGCATGTAGTCTACTACATACAGATGGCTGATATCACCTCTGCCTGTGTTTTAATACATGCAGATGAAAATGCGTGTGAATCGGGGGTAAAATAGTCAGTTTGGGGCACATAAGCAGCCAGCTTCCCCTGCAGTCCTCCCCTGTTTGCAGGCTTGTTATGGTTCTACATTATGCAGCAGTGGTTATCTTGCACTGACCAAAGTGACTGCATGAGATGCATGCATGTGACCAGTCCGCTGCTTGCCTGTTGCAGTAGCCCATTTCCTGACATTGTGCACTCGCCTCAGGCTCCAAGTGCAGATAATAGGTCACTGTGTCAGACTGCGTGAGGTAGAATATCCTTAAGAATGCTGGGTGTTTTTATGCTGAACGGCAGTCATAAAATGATACTCGCTCGGTCGGGAATGCAGAGTACAAACAGGAAAAATTAAAAGGGAATCCATTACGCAAAGGGTGTGTAACAGAGAAAAAAATGTTAATCATTTAAAATCCCTTGTGTTCAGAGATGCTGTAGCGGTGCTTTAACTCAGTTAATGCTGATAATTAAATGAAATGTTATCTTTTATCAATGAGTAGTTAATAGTTTTGAATGTTTGCGTGTTTGTATTCTGCATCTTTTCTGATTCTCTCATTCTGAGATGTCAGGATCAGGAACTCAGCCCCTAGAGCACTAGTATGTTTTGTGTCCCTCTTGCCTGCACCAACAGAAACTGACTTATTTGTCATAGACATACACAGTGATCGCAGTAACGGTCCTATAACCTGATGGCTCTGTCTCTCTCCAAAATGGCCAGTTATCAGATGCGAGTGTCTCTGCGTCTCTTGCGGTGCTGATTGACATGATGAAACTCTTTCATGTTGGCTTGAAACCCTGTTTGGCAAAACGAGGAATGATGTTTCAAGTGACTGATGCTGCAGGATGTAGCCTCCGTTGAAATGAATCAACACATTATACAAGAGTGATTGCTGTCTTTAAAATATCATTAACTCTCTGCGTATCCATCTGTCGTGCTTTTTGACCAGATAGGGGAAGAGGGGGAGGAGGAGGAGGGAGGACTGATTAGTAGTGATTTACAAACACTGCGCTCTCTGGTTACCTTTTCCCAGACTGAAACACAAGAAGAGGCTGGTCACATGCAGTGCTTTTTTTTTTTCTCTTCTTCATGCCAGTGTTTAGTTTGAGGTTTTTCTTTTTACATGTGCACACAGAGGCGCACACACACACGCTCAAAGCCACTGAGCACTCCCCTCCTCCTTTCTCTTTCAGTCTCTCACACTCTGAAACCCACACACAAAACACACCCAACGCATGCATACACACACCCAGGCTCTCCTTGGCTACTGAACTGCCATTGCAGTGAGATCACTGCTCAAAGAACAAGGCAGTTGGGTTTTAGCGCCAGATCGTAACGAGCAGGCATATCTTATAAACCCCTCCTTATGTTCCGTGGCAATCAAACAAGCTCCGTGAGCCAGATATTTTCAATGTAGACAAGTGGAACACAAGCTACATACCTGTGGAGCTTTTGAAAACATTTGGGCAACATTAACATGGTTGTTGCCAATCAGATTAAGTTTGCCGTCTCTTTTCTACACATTTCCATCATGAATTACAGAAGCTTTTTTCACGGCTCCTCCCTTGAGCCACACATGAGCTGACATGTGAGGAGAAGATCCCAAATCATTGGTCAGATGAGTCTAATGTCCAAAGGGCAACAAACCTGCTGAACATGTTTGTGTGCGTCAGTCACGTACACATTCCTCTGTTAAGTCAGGCTATCCGTTGCTTTGGTGCATTGACTCCTAGCTGCATTGAAACCTAACGCATGGTTACAGTTGCTGCTAATCTAATTACCCATGAGCACGTCTGAGGTTCTAAACGAAACATTATTTCTCACGTCGTTTTGACTTTGGTTCTTCGTTGCTTTGATACATCGCGTGCTGCTCTCGACTCTCAAACTTGCCCCCGAGACGGAAAACACAGGAAAAGCAAACACACACTTACCAAATTATAGTGATGAACAAAAATGCAGCTTGAGGAGAGATGATAATCATCCCACCGTAAATTCATACAGTGTGGATTCGAAGGCCCAAGGCTTTTCCTGCAACTCTACAATCACATAAACACATCACAAGAGCATTGTTTGCCCAAAAATAAAGTTGCATTTTGAATGTGGTTTCTTGCAGCAATAGCAGGGGGAGCAGATGGGGTTTCTGTCACAGATTCAGTACAGGTTGCATCTTGCTGCACAGGCTGAAGTGTAATTGTAGACAAACTGTCGCCAAGTATTTTCATCTTAAAAGAAAGTGCACAAGTACAAATTGTGGTGCCACAAGTGAAAAAATATTGTGGTAAAAAAAAAAAAGCTACAGTTCAGGGATAAATCCGCCTTGTGCACAATGAAATGTTTTGATGGTCGAAATATACCCTTGTAGCTGTGGCGGTTTATTTAGTTTGCACTAAAACCCAGAGATAACGTTCCTTTTTTTGTCACTTTGATCTGTGTTTGAGGCTGAAACAACAGGACAGTGATCACGTCTTTGCTTAAACATGAAACATATTTAATTAATCACAGAACAAGGCCAGTCTGTCACATTGTATATCTTATGTTGGCGAGACACTTAAAAATCCGTGCTCAGTTTCTCTGTTTGCTTGTTTATTCATGAGGGACCTGGCGATGCGATGGTGATCACTTGCATGTGTGGTGAGAAGCGTTGCCAGAGAGAGTGGCAGGCATGGGATGAAAAAAATTGGCTTGCCCATTCCTTTTACACAGACTCCTTTGTTTGTGCTGTAGGGTAGGTGGTATAACAGGGACTGGGTGGTGTGTGTACTCATGCAGGTGATGGAGAATGATGAAGAGCTGGGTTGCTCTGTTTTCTTTCTTTCTCGTATCAGTATGCATCAAATTTCTGTGCCAAACAACGCGTTTTACCCTCCGTGAAGATTTGTATACATGAACACACTGTTCCCATGGAGTTTTGTGTGAGTAGTAGTAGTAGTAGTAGTAGTACGAATGTGTGATTTCCTCTGGATGGTATAGGGTGTCTTTTGTTGTCCAAGGGACATGCTAATATACCGAATCCCTTGCCCATCCATTAAAGATTAATTTTCCATTTGCATATAGCTGTTACAAGACTCTGGTGTCAGTATTTTATTATGCTGAATTTCAGACACAATGTTAACAAAGTCTGTAACTTACAAAAGCAATTTTCTGCTTCCACCACTGTTTTTTAAAATCCCATGAACCGTGTCCGTTCTTTCATTTTGTTCTTTTCAAGAGCTAGCCTCTCTCTTAAAAGTAAAGTGACTTAGAAAGTTATCAGAGAAGAAAGAAAATATTATATTCACACCATTTCAGAAGGGACCCCGTGTTTATTTACATCTTAGAAGGATGCAATGTAATAATTCTATTTGTGTTTCAATGCAGTCTCCTCCTGTGCTTTTGTGATGCTTTCTAATGTTTTTCTTCTATATTTTCTTTTTTAGATGAAAAGGAAGTTGGACCATGGCCCCGAGGTCCGATCTTTCCCTTCAGGAAAAAAGCCCTGCAAAGGCCCAGAGTATCCAAGGTAAAGAAACCTGCATTTCAGAGACCTGCACTGCAACATCCTGCTTTTGTTTCCCCTCCGAGAATGAAAATAATAAGATGTTATCTCCTTATTTTCATGCTATATGCATACTATATACACCTAGTATGAAAATAAATGATACAGATATATCACAAGGTATGAACAAAGATGCTTTTTGTTTTCAAACAGAGCGATGGTTCACATCTCGCTGTATCTCCAGCATGCAGCCCGCAGGTCCACATGTTTCTCTAACCCTGAATATTTAATGCACGTGTTCACATGTAGCCACATTAAAATTCAGACTGAACACAGCCACTTAACTGTAAATGCCATGTTACTGGCTCCGGCTCAGCTTCCTCTCCCATTAAAAATGAATCAGTAATGAAATGGACCCCCAGTTTCCCATTTTGCTGTCAGGAAGCATAATCTGAAGTATTGAGGCAGCCCACTGGCCGGTTTCTCCTGCTGCCCTTACATTACAATGGAGCGTGGGCGCCCTTTGAAGATGTGCTCTGCTTTTCACATGTCGGCTCTGACAACAAGAGAGGGGTTCACTCTGTAGTTCACTCTTTTCAAGTCTCTGAATCAGAATTATACACTCAACTGGCAGTTAATTACATATACCTACCAAAACTAATGCAGTTCTGCCATAAACCCTCACTTAGTTTAGAATCTGACTATTTTATCACTTGGCTGATAAATATCGTCCGATTTGAGCTTTTAACAGACATATTGGTATCAGTGTTTATGAAAACTGAATTTTACACAATAAATATAGCAGAGAGATTTAGGTTTGCATTTTACGTTAACCCCCACGTTTTGTGACCACAGGAGAATAATAATAATACTAGGACACTGTGAAATGAAGAAATGTGTGAAATAAGAACATAAAATTCCTTTATCATTCTGAAGTTACAATGTTTTGGTGCAGTGTTAAGTTTGTATTTTATTAGAATTTGTTAATAAAGATTTCCTTGGACTATTACCCTATATGTTAACATTATGTGAGAACATCCCAGCTGCTGTTTGAAGACAATAAATGACTTCTTGGATTTTTGAATTCCAGATATTATAACAACACAACTGATTATTTTTGTTGTACATAAGCAATAAATAAACAAAAAATAAACAATGGAGGGTTAATTGCCATAAACCGAAAAGAAAACATGTTTTACGTGGTTTTACCGACAGGAAACAGCTGCTCTTAGCTTTTGTAAAAGGGCAAACTGCTTTTAAAGAACATCTTTAAATATTTAATTTTACAATGTAAGCTGTCCCATTTACCCGCAGGCCATCTTTAGTGTTAGTGCTGTTGTCAAAATAATTCGTAGTGGAAATATCTACAATAGCCATAGCGAAATGAATCCGTTCACAAATAAACATCCTCATAATGTGTTTTTAATAGAGCTTGTTAATGGTGACTCCTTAATGTCTGTTGTATATCTTCAATATATCTATTATCTCTTCTCTTGTTAGTTATGCGTCCATTAAGTTCTTTTTCCCCCTGTACATTTCAGCCCGACGGGAATTGTTCCATGTCCAGCCACACCCACCACATTTGGCCACATAAGAACAGCCAATAGTCAGGGGCAACAAAGACGGCGTATCACCTCAATCCAGCCACCTACGGGTCTCCAAGAATGGCTCCGAACATTTCAGGTGAGTCTTATTCTACTTTTCTCCTTCCTCCCCCCTGGGTGAATCTGAACCCTTGAGCAAAAGCTCATCAAAAAGCAGATGATGTGCCCAATCAATGTTCACTTAGTCTCCAAGATAATTGCCGCCGTGTTGTTCTGGCCCATCACATTACCACAGGCAGTGTGGCGTGGAATTGGAATTAGCCGTACCTGTTGGGAGTAAAAGGAGTTATAAGATCACATGTGTCTACTGTAGACTTATGGTCTGTTTTAAAAGTTGAACAGATGTTGTCATACTGCAGGAAGATCTAAGCCTATTATTACCTCTTCATTTATTGTTACTGCGTTATCCAAGGACAGTATTGCTGACTTAAGGTTCTTTAAGTTGTCAGTTTGTGTCCATCATAGGCAAAATTGGAAAAGACACTCGTTAATCTTATTTCCAACCAATTCAGGGATTAAAATGTGTGTCTGTAGAGGCTGTGGACACACTGAGACATTCAGAAAGCATTCGGACCCTTTTACCTTTCCCATATTTTATTTTGTTGCAGCCATATGATAAAAAAACTAAAATTCAATACCTCATATTGACAAATAAAACTTCTGAATTTAAGATCTTTGCGCCAAATGTATTAAATATAAACATTTCCTTGACTGGAGTCCACCTGCAGTAAAGTCAAATGACTGGACATGATTTTAAAGGCACTCACCTGTCTGTATACAACATCTCACCGCTGAAAGTGCATGTTAGAGCAAGAACTAAGCCATGAGGTTGAAGGAAATGCCTGCAGATCGTATCAATGCACAGATCTGGAGAAAGCTGTGAAAACATTTCTGCTGCATTGAAGGTTCCCAAGAGAACAGTGACCTCCATCATTCTTAAAAGAAGAAGTTTGGAACAACCAGAACTGTTCTGAGAGCAGGCCACCCACACATACTGAGGGATTGAGTAGAAAGGCCTTGGTTAGAGGTGACCAAAAATCTGATGTTCACTGTGGCTGAGCTCTAGAGATCGTGTTTGGAGATGGGAGAAACTCGCAGAAGAGCAATTTTCTCTTTCTGATAATTTGGTATTATGTGTACACTCACAAGGGGAAAATTTTATCCCAACTATTTTAGCAATACTTAGCAAATACACTGTAAGGTAATACTGCATTAATTTCTATACATTAAAGTTAAAGTCTTCCTATATTATAATTCTCTAAACAGATGCAACATAATAGAACAATATCTTTCACATTAGACATCAGGTCTAATGATTCCAGACCTCATTTAAACATATTAGCCTCAATGGGGTCTCTCTGATTTCCTGTATAATTGGTAGAGTTCTTCCCCTCACATTGCACAACATCAGCTGTTAATAACATCTTTGTTTTAGAGCTGTGTGCAGCCCCTTCACCATCCCCTCTCTCTCCCTCACACACACTCACAATAGACCAGTGTGTCAGTCTGACCGTCAGGAGCACCAGTAGAAATCCTTCCACATCATTAGGCCATCAGTGGGTCAGACGTGGATTTGTTTGACACAACCCAGCTGACCTACCACTCTGACAACCAGCAGTTAAAAAGTTAATTTACATTCTGTACATTCCCCGGTCCAGTCCTAGCCTGTAGCTGCTGTTAAATATGAAAGTAGTACAGTGCAGGAACTAAAACTTTCAAACTTCTGGTATTATTTTGACTCTGCACTCTGAAAAACAAACACAAGGACACACACACGGTGATGGCTAAAGTTAAATCTTACATTAAAGGATTAGTTTGTGAAGTAGATAGATTGAAAACATTCCTATGTCTCCATTAAAGATGAATCTACAGCCAGCAGCCAAATATCTTATCTTATAAACAGAAACAAACCAAATCTGCCTGTCAGCAACTGTAAAGGTCACTGATTATCCCGTTACATCTCGTTTGTTTAATCTCTTCAAAAACCTGTTTTAAAAAACAAAGACATGTTGTGATTTTATGGAGATTAATGTTTGGGGCTATTTCTTGATAATATAACAAAAAAAAGCATGTTTCCCCAAACTATTACTTATATAGAACAAACATGCAGTTACATGACTTTACATTGTTTAAATACATTTAAATAAAACATTAAAGTAGAGCTCGTCACCATGGGGGACATAACAGATGAAATAATTGCTCCCTCAGCGTCTTTGTAGCTCAAACATCAGTAAACTTATAGGTTGCATTCTTTTTGAGTGCTTGATCTTTATTGAACTTAGTAGGACTTTTTCTGCAGATACTTTATTATTAAGTATTTTAGCAGTGGTCAATTATCATGATGATAAATTAATTGTAGCCTGGAGCCATTGTGAATTTCCTGCCTGTTCAAATTTCAGCTTTGTGATCACAGATGTTGACTACAGGCTTGTGTCTCAGTCATCCTCAGGAGACTTTTGAAAGAAGTTATGGGACATTTAAGGAAGTGGGTCTGACATGTGGACAGGAAATATGTGTTTACCCAAAACCACAAACTGCAATTAACCTCTCAGGTTCATCCCGGAAACTCCTTGAAAACACTGAGCTCTTAAGAAGTATGATTTGAAGTAAATATTCAGGAGCGTTCTGCTGCAGTGTTTACAGCCTCATAAGGATTAATTAGCGGTCTTGAACTACCAATGAACTTGCTTTTTAAAAACATTTTGCATGTTCGCTTGGAAAACCAACATAACAAATGCTAAACAGGTGAAACACATAATCCCCTCTCAGGTTGGGAACTATGAAACTGTGGTGTTGGAACAAAAGGTCTCAAAATCTATGGGAGAAAAAGTTGTATCACCTAAGTAACTAATACATGGTCATCCCTGTGTTTGGGGGGGAGGTTTCTAAACCCCCTGATTACCTCTGCAACCAACACCCCCGCCTCGAGCTTTTAGCTGCCAAATGACAGGTGGTTTGCGAGTGCCAGGTTTTCCATCCTGCCTCGAAGCCTGTAATCATTGTTGGACTTCAGCGCTCCACAGAGAAAAACAACCACGGCTGTTGTATGCAACACACAATACAGCGCAATTTAGCAGCCGGCATTTTAAAAACTGAATACTCAAGCAGGAGAACCAAAAGCCCACTGAGCTCTAATAAGGCTGCTGATAATCTGGTTCCTGATGTACACATTTTCCACTAATGTGTTGGCTGTCAGCAACAGGGAGGCGCCTCGAGCTGCTCCGTGCTGCCGACGAGGGCACGTAGGGAACATTAACAAGTTACAGACACGTTACACAAAGCCACTTCTTTCCATGATGCTCTAATCAAGGTGTTGGACTTGCATCAGCTCACTGAAGCATTTAGATGGATGTTGATAAACTGGGACAATCGGCCTGTAACGCCCCAGCGCTGTTTTCAGTTAACACTGGACGCTTACAGCTGTGATGGGTGTGGCCGTCCAGATGTCACTGTGCAATTGATAACGTGCTGACAGTGTTCAACTCGTGCATTACCACCTGTGATGGCCAACTTGCAAAGTTCTTTTTAAGAACCTCCGAAGAAGAGAGAACTAGAAAGGAAAAAAGACAAAGATTTATTATATTAGTTCATTCTCACCTGTACAATATGAAACTGTTCATTCTGTAGCTGCCCGTTGATGTCAATACTGAGCTAGAAATTTAAGTGATACAATAAATAACCCTGCATTTAGCTTTAACGAAGGTCTTAAGCTATCTTACAAACCTGTGCAACTCAATAATTTAAACTGGCTTCACTTTTTTTTCATTGACACCAGTGATTCACATACACAATTGCTTGGGATGCTAAAAATACTAGTGCACATTCTAAATCCGTCTGTTTGGAATGGTCTGTTTGCTCGGCCTGTGGTAATGCTGGTTGCAGCTTTCTTTGTAAAACTGTAAAAGTGACCTGCAGTAATTGAGCGGTGGAAAGTAAAGACCGGCTGTGGGGCTCAGTCCGCAGAACAATACATTGCATGTTTGCTATTTCAGAGTTTTGTTACGCAATCTACGTTACCTTCAGACACAAGTTCACAGCTTTTCAAAATAAAAACGTTGTAATTCAGCTCAATATAAAGAAAGTTAAGTAACCAAATTCAACACTGCTCTTCAATCATGGTAAAGAAGCAGATAGGACGAAGGGTTATCAGGATATGATTTCCACGTACAGTCAGAGATTTGTAGAATTTGTTGAAAGGTGAATAGACGTCAAACTAGATGAAACCTTCTGCTTCAAAGAGCTCCACCATTCAGACAGTAGTTATATGTGTAGGTTATTGCAGTCTACCACCTCCTCAAACATGTCACTGCACGTCTTGTTGTCATGGCAATGGAGTATGGAATACAAAAAACCGTTGAGCTGCTTTTGTTTGCACCTACATGTTTCCGATGGTAGAGAAGTTTGTTCAGGGCAAAGACAAAAGTAAGGAAGTTTAAAAAAGGCTGTTGTAAGTCTCCCTTTCCAGACGTCTAACAAAACTGCTCACCATAATTGCAGCTGTGTATGAATCAATGTAAACAGAACGATTTGCACAGTGCTATTCTTTTTTTCAGAAAGAAAAATGTAAAATTACCCTGTTACCTGGATGTAACTTCAGTTCTATAAAAGTGTGTGTGGCTCATTGTCACTGATCTCGAGGGAAATTAAGGAACAAAGCCTCAAAGTTTTCATGTTAGTGTTAAACTTAATTCTACTCCTACGTATAATTCAGCACATTTAGTGGCCAGTTCACCAATTAATAAAGTCAAATAGAGGCTGCACCTCAACATCTGGAGGGTCAGGATTCCTGAGTTTTATCTGGAGTTGACCCATTACTTAGTTGACTAGTGAGCTTTTGTGGGATTGTGCATTGTGAGTTTCTGATTTAACGAGTCTGCTTCCACATGCCTGCGTTCACATGTCTGGAAAAATACCCTCAGCACTCGAACTGTCTCATCTTCTTATTATTGCTTATAATTCACTTCCAGTTTTGAATAATATACAGTTTTGTTGTTGATATTGAGTTTGAACACATAAAATATAATATAATCTAATGTTGAGTATGTTAAGTGTAATATTCCCCCGTCTTGTGTTCCAGAGCTGGACTGGCCCAGAGAAGCTGCTGGCGCTGGATGAGTTGATTGACAGCTGTGAGCCCACACAAGTCAAGCATATGATGCAGGTGATCGAGCCGCAGTTTCAGCGAGACTTTATCTCCCTGCTGCCCAAAGAGGTGAGTTCCTGCATCCCCCCTTCTCTCTTATCACTTGCTGCTTCCTCTCTACCTCTTATCCTCTTCCTGCCTCTTCCTTCTGACCTGAACTCCCACGGGAATCCTTTGTTGTAGCTGTATTTCTGAATGGGAGAGATGAGGCTTCCCCTCCAGCTCTAATCCCTTCCCTGTCTTCCCTCCCATCATCTAACTGCATCCATATTGGGTATCTTGTTTTTTGCTCTGCAACAAAACTGGCAATACTAACGATCTGAAGTGCCACAGCGACGATAAGATCACATAAGGGATTCTTAGAAAACAGCCTCAATCCACGGTATCTTGCAGAGTTGATCAAATACTTAATACCTTGTCTCTGTGTGGCAGATGTTTGGATGAAACAGGGGTTGGTAGCATAGAGAGTGAGGCAATAGGATGTAAGATTTCAGGCTGTCAGCGCCACATGCTCCAAAGCCAAATGCAAACAGCATCATGTGTGTTTACACCAGGACATTAATGCTCTTTTTGTTCCTCTTTATTTTACTTTTCTATTTTATCGTGTTCCCTTTGAATTATTTTCATAATTCAGTCTCTGGCGCTGGGAATGTATCAGGGGGCACTGTCAAATTTAACAGGACAATCCCTGTGGTCACACTGTTCATACAGCTGGAACTGAAAGGCTGCAGAAGGCTGCATGTATCACACATTATAAGTAATCACTGACTAGAGGTCCATTCTTAACACTGCTGAAATATCCCTAACCTTGGTAATGACCAGTGGCTTAAACAGACTTTTTAAGTGATAGAGTTTAGTTTTGGCCAAGCCATTAGAAATAAACCTGAAATTAACTCTTTATACTTGAAGACAGGCTCAGGATATTTCTAAAACTATAAGAGAACAGTTAATGAAGCCCTCCCAGATTTCTGTGGTCTCAACAAACACTGTAAAAACAACTAATCATGGCCAAAGTTTAGTGCCACATGCCTGCACTGGTAGTTGCCACAGAAAATTTGACTTTCAGCTCAGAGTTGACCAGAGTTATGTCTAAACTTGGATTAGACTGGAGCCGCAACAATTTGTGAATTAATTAAGTAAATGATCAACAGAAAGTTAATCTGTAAATAAACTTAATACCCTCCTGTCAGCATCACAAACATGTCCCCTAATGAGCATCTGGTCAAATAATACCCAGTATCGCTCTATTATTTTATAGACCAATAAATCAAGAAAACGATGCCCTTGAATTTGTCACAGAGCGTGTTGCGGGTCAGTATCTCCTCAGATTAGTGTAGCATAATGAAAAAACATTATTTGCCTAATGGGTTTTACCTCAATCTGTAAAATAAACCTAAAAACCCATAATCCTTCTTTTATATAATGCTGATACAGGGCAGTCACTTGACCTAATTGCGGTTTCACTACATTGTTTAATAGCCGAAATGGATGTTTTGTTGAGAGATTTGTCCAAATGTTTACCTGTCAACACACAGGAAAGGCAGCAGACTATAATATATTTTCTGTTGCTGGAGGGGCCAGATTTAAGGTCTTTATTTTCTGGCTGTGGCTAAACCAACTGTATCGCTGGCGTCATTACCTGCTTTGTGAAGCTCCTATTGTATGTTTTTTGTTGGGCTTTCATAGAAATGTGGATTCAGTCAAATGCAAATACAATTGTGTGTCCTTGCCAGTTGGATTCATGATGTTTATATTGAGCTTATAGCTTTAACTTGCCTTTTCTTTTTGTTGTTATGGTCTAGTTAGTTTAAAAAAGTTAAAGTTCTCTTCTATGAGGTGTTGTACACACCTGCTCTGGTAAATAATGGGTCCTCTTTGTGTCTCCTGTTCTATTTACACCCCTGACATTCCCTACCCATGTCTTTCAACAGCTGGCTTTGTACGTCCTGTCATTCCTGGAACCGAAGGACCTCCTCCAGGCGGCCCAGACGTGTCGCTACTGGCGCATCCTGGCAGAAGACAACCTGCTGTGGAGGGAGAAATGCAGGGAGGAAGGTGAGTTTCAAGAGACAACTGCAGGTGCTCTGTGGCAGGGACCACTGTGGTCAGTGCTTAATGTTGTGGTTGTACCCATTTTTAAAATAAATCTTTAACCTGAAAAACATGTTTGTCTAATCAGCTTCCGTTTGTCTCTTAACAGGCATCGATGAGCCTCTGCCCCTCAAGAAGAGGAAAATCGTCAAGCCTGGCTTTACTCACAGCCCCTGGAAGAGTGCCTACATCAGGCAGCACAGAATAGACACTAACTGGAGGAGAGGCGACCTCAAATCACCCAAGGTATCTTTTCCTTCAAATCTGAAATCCCCAGAGGTTCGCCTCCATCCAGCTAAACTTATAGATCTGACATCAAATGGCCTTGAGTCACAGAAAGACAGTTCAATACGGGTCTGAAGTACAGAGCTGATGGAAAGTTAGTGATGGGTCAGGTATTCGTGTTGAATGATAAGTCAACTGGAGCAGGGGGTGATCTTCTTTCTCCTTCAATCTGTAGACTCCATTTGTCTTTTGCCCGTTCAGAAGTTTCTCATAAAGCATGACCAGCATGCGAGAGTTGATTTTTAATGGGCCCTTGCTTCTTTAGAACCATACGCAGGTCATTTTAGGACACCGCTGATGTAAATGCGGTTACTGTGCTCTTCATACTCCTTTGCATATACAGTGTGCTCAGTGTGTCTTTTGCTGAGCGAGCAATCCTGTGACCCAGTGGTAGCAAACAGAGAGCACACACACACACACACACACACACACACACACACACACACACACACAGCTGTGATAAAAGATTGGCGTGCACCTGCAGCGCTTGATGACATTTTCCTTTTTATCGCTTTTATGTATAAAGCAACAGAGACATGTCATTGTTCCGTTGTCAGCCTCAGCTCTCGCCATTTGTGTTGTCAGTCCACGTCCGCCGTCCTCCTGCGTCCTCCTCATCGCGTCTCTTTTTCTCAAAGGTGCTGAAAGGTCACGATGACCACGTGATCACCTGCCTCCAGTTCTGTGGCAACCGCATCGTCAGCGGCTCCGACGACAACACGCTGAAAGTCTGGTCGGCTATCACAGGAAAGGTAAGAGCTCCTGTGTTTGCTGTTTTGTGATTTCGTCTTACCGGCTTCCTTTTCCTTCAGCAATGTCAGACAATGATGGATTTGAGACACAAAGTTCAGGTTAAACTTAATGCATTTTTTCAGACTTATTGATTAGAAATTAAGGCTTGATGCTTTTTCTCTGCAAAGACATGCTGCTCATCATATGTAGCATGTCATATAAACACAGCCATATAAAACATGCGCAAGACTCAGTTCTATCTATTCTCTTGTGTCACATTGAGCCATTTTGCAGAATTGTTACACAGCGTATCTGTGAACAGTGTTAGTATTCATAGCTGAACTGTTGCAGCCACAGGCCTTATTCTTCAACTTTATGCTGTGTGTTAAACAGAAAGGCAGTCGTTGCACTCTTGTGTTTGAGAGAGGTTCACAGGTTGTTGTAAATCACAACACTTTCATGCCTCCTTGCTGGACTTTTTTGTTTACAAAAAAATCCTTTGTGCACCACCGTGTTGCATATTTCTCCTTCCATCCCTGGTCCTTTCACCTTATGAGCTTTAAATAAAGGAGATATGGTCGGGCTGAGAATTTGCTATTTCATTTAAAAAAGCCCTTAAATAAATTGATATCCCGCATGATCACACAGCAGCAGGTTTGTCTTTCTGTTCAATATACCAGAGAGCTTGTTTTTCATTCCTATAAAGTCTCGGCCTAACAGATAGTGAGGTTGGCATTCGGCCCGCTGGTGATTACACGCATAATAGTCACAGCATTTGCTGATCTGAACAGATTTCACCAAGGTCATCTGATAGGCATGGAGCACAAATTGGCTCTCCTTCACCCAAACACGTATCCAGATGACAAGTTGTTGAGTTACAGCCACAGCGGCTCCACATTGGTGGTGGAAGTGTGCGATGAGTCACATCAATAGCGGCTTTTATGAGACCACCGTGCGCTCAGACGTCAGAGACGCACAGTTCATTGTGTCCATTGCTTCTACAATGCAAATCCGCCTCAGAATTGTTTGCTTACATTAGTCACGAGGAGGAGATGAGCCTCAATCCATCTCTGTTTGGGTGGTGTATTCAGAGCACATCCCCTCAGTGGATTTCATCTCTTTGCTTATTTAGCTCTTAACACCAGAGGGAGAATCCTTCGCTGGAGAGGAATGGCCAATTAAGCCTAGACTACCATTTCACGTAAAGTGACTGTCGATGCCAGTAAAACTGTAAAGTAAAAATACAATGGGATTACCAGAACCTACATTTGTTTTCTTCTTTGCTGTCAGCATCCTTTATTGTCTTTGCCAGCTTATTTGAGGACTTGATTGCTATGTTTTCCTGGCCGTCCACTCCTTCTTGTGAGATGCAGGCCTATAAGTGGCTATCAGAGATTGCAAAATGTTACACGGTTTGTGATGAATGGATGAATGCGTCTCGTAGCTCCGAGTCCACGCGACAATATCCATCCCTCATCTCCTTCATATCTTCTTCTCCTTCATATTGGAAATGACCAAGATGTTAGGAAAGCCTCTCCTTCATAACTGTCAGGTAAAAAGTGATTGGTGTGACCTTGCTGCGCCTTTTACCTCTTCCATAAATCCCCAACTTCAAGAAAATCTCAGACCAGCCTTCCACAGCTCAGTCACTAACACCAGAACTTAAGCTTTACTCAGAACTCGATCAATACGAGGTAGAAACATGATGATAAGCCGAGATGAGGAACTCGTATTTCAGTCTTTAAACATTCTCCTCGTGAAGTTTGACGCCATGAGAGTGAAGACTTGGTTTTCTTTTCTCTCTTCCGTCACCTGGGTTTGATTCTGGGTCTTTTACATTCAACATTCAAAAGCCATTGCTGCAAATCAGTTATGACTTTGGTGGATTATTAAAGATTAGAAGAGAAAATTACCTCATACTCTCAGAGATCAGTGGTTCTGATGGATGGATCAATGAACAGTGGTTGAATGGATAGATACACAACAGGTTGAATGTTTGAATTGATAGATGCATAGATGAATAGATTAATCACAGATATAAGGCATTCATTAGATAGATGCATACATGAAAGGGTGGGTAGATAGATACTTAATAGATTAATGAATGGGTAGATGGATGGATGCATGGATACGTAGATAGATGAATGGGTAGATAGATTGGTGGATGGATGGATGGATGGATTAATTTATTCATAGATGGATGATAGATGGACAGATACAATGGCTAGATCGATTAATTTAAACATAGATTGATAAATGGATAGATATATACGTAGGTAGATAGAAAAAGATGAATGGATGTATTTCTTTCTTTCATTGATTTCATTTAAAGTGCCGTTCTGGTGGTTTTCTGCTGCAGGCAGAGAATTTATCTTGATAGGATGGAAAAAGAAATTGGTCACACTGTGGACAAATTGTGCCAGAGGTAGAGAGTGTTCACACTTCATCTCAGATACGTTTGCTGCTTTTCCTCTGGAACTTTGTGTTCAATTTAGAGCGATCACAAAGATTCCCCTGTGAACCTCACAGTGTGGGACCAGTCAAGCAATATTGCATAGCTTTGCAGCGTCAAAATGTACTTGTAATGTACTTGTGTGAGTTTCCCCAACCCAGCTCTAAATACTGCATCAGATATTATGCAGATAGATGAAGGAATCTTTTTTTTCTCAAAAAGATTTGTTTGGGAATTGTTTAGCTATCAAACTCGTGGTTCATTGATGCAGGGCTCCCGTGTTTGAGACCAAGTGCTCTCTTGAATTGTCTGGAAAAATCCCTGGAAAAGTCCTGGAAAAGAAATTCTAGTGAGAACCCTGTTTATATCACAGAGAGCAGATCACATCAACAGGGTTATTTGATTGAATCCGGCTTACATTTTAAATTGTAATACAAAAAACATTAAGGCAGATAATTGCTTGAGTTTCATCTTTGCAGCAGGTTTTGTCTTGTCCTTGATTTACCCTGTAACATAAAAACACAGCGAATTTAACTCTTGCTGAGAGGCAATCAGAGAGTTATTATATGAGCACATCATATGTAAATGCTCCCACACCTCTGGAAGAAGTGGGTCGTTGCTTAGCGATCAGGTAAGACAATGGGGATTTGATTGTGGTGAAACTGTTGCATCAGAGATTGAGCAAACTCTGGAGTTTCAAAGTCACAGAAGAATTTTACTTTAAGTTTGAATGTGCGATTCAAGGAATTTTAATTTAAAAAGCCTGTTTTCCTTTGCTGAGACAACACTCAAGAGGAGACCTTTGTCTTTGGGTTGTCCTCCATCTTCAGTGAGAGACGTCAATCTTCCATCCGAGCACACAACAGCAGCAGCACATATCATTGCTTCAAAGGTGGCTGTCTGCTGCTTAACAGAGCAGCGCATGTCCTTGGTGGTGCCTGTCAGCAGCAACCTCAGCTGTCAGGCAGATCTAAGATGGCAGACCTGCGGACTGCTGTCGTATCGAGGGAGACGTGTCCTCTGACAGATGCTTCAGCTGCATGGACACCCAGTTTACCTTCACGTCCTTTTAAAGTAACACACATCAGGGGTTGCCATTGGAGCTGTGAATCTACAGGGGGTATTAAGTTGATTAGACATGGGGAGATTACTACTGAATTGAATTTATGAAGGCAATCTGGCACGTCAGAGGCTGATGTGTTTTCTAAATGTGTTTATCAGTGAAGGAAAGCACAGTGTAATTATCAGTGCATACATAACATATCATCAGGCTGTCAAGTCAATCAGTAAATCACACCCATCTCGTCAAACCAGTAGCACAAGAAATGGAAAAGGGCAAATGTGTTGACATCCCAATAAAACTCTCAGGAAACCTTTAGACCTCGCCAGTTTCATTTCTCTCCCTTATTCCACCCTGAGATTTTCTGCTAAACAAGCTGAAAGCATGGTCCGGTTTTTTTTTTTTTTTTGCTGTTTCAGGGAAAATCATGCCAAGTTAAGGCACTTTCATATCGAACATCATCGTGGTGGCTCGGTTGGCCAAAAGTGCCCTAGAAGAAATTTAGAAGAAAATAACGAAGGAGGCGGCAGGAGAGATTCTTCCTCTGCCAACATCATTACGTTGCAAAGCAGGACAACTTGGAGAATTTTACACATTTGAGTGTCCAGTCTCGGGAGGAGGAAAGCAGAAATTTGATTATATATATACATTATATGTAATACCTCCTCACTGTATTTACACAGTACATAAGCAATATGTATATGTATCAGACTTTGTTTGCATTGCTATTGAGGAAAATAATGTATATAATTATTTACATTATTGTATTTGCCAGCCTTAATTGTAACCGTGAGGTTTACCCAGAAGAGCTGAATGTTTACAAGCAAACGACCGGATCAGTTTAACAGGACATTCAACATACTTTACTTCTCCAGCTCCACAGTAAAAAAAAAAAAAAAAAAAAATGCAGAGCGCTGAAATGTGTTGCATCGACATCATGAACATCCGCAACATCCCTACACTGACGTCTTGCATGAATTGTGTAGTCAATTTCACACATTGACGTACACGGCTCAGCCACATACTAGGTTTTGACCTTGTTCTTTCATTGAAGAGGAAAATATTTAGAATATATAAAGGAATAAAAAGAATATTTTTCTTTCACTCTCACAGATGGGTTTATTTTATGTTTGTTCCACACAGACAAAGATGCCTAAGCCATTCATTTCAGATGCTCTCTCTCATCCCACGCAGTGTTTCAGTGGGCTCTAATCACACACTGCTAGTCTTTTTCTTGGAACCTCAAACACTGGCTTCGATTCATGAGGAAAAAATATCCTGCATCCTTCAGAGTGATTATGAAAAAAAACCTGCCGACCTGCAGTCGAATATTACACAGCAGAAACACGGATCAGTTACAAATGTGGATTAAGACGCATGATGGATGGTCTGAATGTAATAAATACTCTGGATAATATCCCACATGTTTCTGCCATGTTTGAAATGTGCAGTATCATGTAATCTAGTAACCTGTTGTAGTTCAGCTTTATCCACTAAACCTAAGAGAAAGAGCAAGAGAGTTAAAACACTATGGTGAGGTGGACTGTAGGGTCATGCCACATTGACCCAGAGTTAATGAAGTGATTCTCTTTATCACAGGAGGGGGTGGGGGGATGGCGGCTGCAGTGCCATCTACCTCCTCCACTCGCTGCAATAAAACCCCTCGTCCTGCATCACCATTCACTGCACATGTGGCTTATCAGCTGCAGTCAGGGGGTCACATGTTATACACTGCTGAGCCTGACATAACCACAACCTGCACAGTTTGCTCCTCCACTCTCCCCAAAGACTTTTAATTTAATGCATTTAGGAAAATTAAATGGAGGGACAAATGAGACAAACCGTGGAGACCCACATTCAATTGATCTGAATGATTTCCATAACTACTGTGATCAATACCTAATCTACCATCCCTAATGCAGACCAATCTGCATATGTCTTCATTGAAGACAGTTGTCAACCCTCTCTGCAAAGAGAATAAATCTGCTGCTTTTGCAGTAGATAAGTAAAAGCAATTATAAGAGGCAGCAGCGAGTTTGTGTCCCAGTACAGCAGCAGCAGGTAGAAGTGACTGAGCTCTTCCTTCACATTAAAGGTCACACAAGTTTAATTCAACTTGTCTTTTTTCCCTGAAGGAAACCGATGGTCGCACAGGGAAAAAAATCCCAAATGTGATTTTTATTAAGCTCATTTATAATATGTATGAATAAAATCACCCTGAGTGTCTTTGAAACTTACAAAGAACTTTACTCATCAAGACTTTTCTTCTTCTTCTTCTGTTTTCAGTGTCTGCGGACGTTGGTGGGCCACACAGGGGGCGTGTGGTCATCCCAGATGCGAGACAACATTATTATCAGCGGCTCCACTGATCGCACACTCAAGGTCTGGAACGCAGAGACAGGAGAATGTATCCACACCCTCTATGGGCATACCTCAACAGTGCGCTGCATGCACCTACATGAGAAAAGGTATGTGGAAATCTCACGAGTAAACACCAGTACGCCTTATTAAGTTGTGTAACAGTGAAATAATCTTTAATGATAAAAATGTAGCTCATAAATGTTGAGCTGAAACTGTCAGGAAACTACTTTTTTAATAGCTGGTGTTTTTAGCCATTTTTCCAACTTGGTATGGATTTAAACTGAATATCTCTATAAGACATTTATAAGACATCACCCGAAGCGTTATGAAAATATGTTGGTGCATCACAGGCTGCATTTTTCTGCTGGAGCCCGTCCAAGCCTGAAGGACAAATAACCTTGTCCCTGAAACACGGTTCTTTTTCCCAGATTACATACATGTGCAGGGTAAAGGACTGTCAATGCAACCATCAATACTAACATATACTTTCACTAAAGAAACATTAAAACATTTTGTCTGAATCTTGATAATAATCACTATTGACTCACATTTTGGACCAAATTGATTGATCAGTAATGAAAATAATTATTTACTGCAGCTTTAGCTGAGTTCAGTTGTGTTTGTATACATGTACAACTCCTGAAGATACCATGACCTGAATGACTTTACAGATCCAAGTGTAGATGTCGCTAAATATACGTATAATACTGCATGGTGGAAATGTTCCCTTTACTTAATTATCACATCCAGAAAAAGTTTTAAATAGTGTATCTACCTCTGTCATGTTCTATAATTATTTACCAAGAAGAATTTAAGCTCTGTAATTCACACCATATATATTATTGTTGAATCCATATTTTAAAAAAACTTGAATGTCAAAACAACAATCTTCTCATTGAACTCATCAAGAGTGAACAAGCATAACCTCCACAATGTTGAAGTATTTCTTACAATGTTCTGTATGAATCACAACCCACATCCCACCGAGCTAAAAGAGCAGCTCTGCAGCAGTGAAAGAGGACAGTACCTGTGTGACGGAGAGAGCGTGGGGTCACATAGTGATTAAATAGACCCTGTAAGGCGTCTTAAGTGAACGGCTGCTCACTTATTCACTCAGTATTACACTCCAGACTCAAAGTGCTCTTTTCGCCTTAGGGCCCAGCGAGGTTTTTTTTTGTGTAGCATTTGATTACTCACCCAGTGGAAACACTGTGAGCTGCCGGCAGAGAGTGAATAACATGTTGGTGATTTCCATCTTTGTAGCACCGTGAGGCGTTTTTATAAAGAGAATTTGCTGAGTGTATCTACAGTATGTTTTTATTTCTATGTAAATATCCTGTGAAAGAGAGAAATAGAAAATGAGAACTTCATAACATGGAGGAACGTCTCTCTAGAAGCATTAGTGAAAGTTAAATCAAGCAGCGTCTATCAGTGAATTAATTCAATGTTTTTCTTCTACTTTTTAAATAGATGTAAATCACACCCTTGGTGCAAACTCTTGCAAAGGTTTCACAAGCATTCCTCCCTACGGGGAGTTTCACCTATTACGTGTCTTTTCTTTTCTTTTCCACGAGGACGAGGCGGCTGTTAGAGTCAAAGAGGTGTTTTGTACATTCAAGTACAAACATGAATGTGACGCTGAGGGTTACTCATCGTCAGAGGAGCAAAAGAAAGTGTTCATACCTGCTTAATTATTCTGTCAATGAGCTGCCATGGCATGAATGAGGAGGTGTGAGAAGAATTTATTCTCACAGAATGGAAGAGTTGGAAAAAATTAATTATCAGGGAAAATCTTGTTCAATATTAAGACTTGTGTTGAATTGTTTTGTTTGTTTTCCACCAAGAGACTCATGCATTCATCTTGCTTTTCTACTCAATGTCCCTGACATGCCGTCTGTTTGTGTCCTCTTTCCTCTCAGGGTGGTCAGTGGCTCTCGTGATGCCACACTGCGCGTCTGGGACATCGAGACGGGTCAGTGTTTACACGTCCTCATGGGCCACGTGGCGGCGGTGCGCTGCGTCCAGTACGATGGCCGACGGGTGGTCAGCGGTGCCTACGACTTCATGGTTAAAGTGTGGGACCCCGAGACGGAGACCTGCCTCCACACGCTGCAGGGCCACACCAACAGAGTGTATTCATTACAGGTGAGAAGCTTTTGCACAACAACGTTATTTTCTTCATATTTCAGGACATTTTATGTCCCTTTGTGTCTCGACCTCATGGGTTGTAGTTTTGAAAAAATAATCCCTGTATGTCCTCTAAGACGTCCTTTCACCCACTCTGTGTGATGACACTGCACTTTAGCTGGTGTCATCATTGTCAGAGGAGGCTGTTCACTTCACTGATAGATTGTTTTTTGTACCACGCTGCTGTTTCAGTGTTGCTGCTCCACCAAAGCTTTCACAAATCAATAAAATCCATTCATTTCAATGAGTCTAATCTTGGGTTTGTTAATAGAACCAAACTATGCTGTGTAGGCGCCTGTGCCATGAACAGCAAGTTATGGTGACATCTGTGGGTACCTTGAACTGGCAGCTTGGCTTTCAGCCACTTTCAATTTATCCTCACTCTCTGCAGTTTGATGGGATCCACGTGGTGAGCGGCTCGTTGGACACATCTATAAGGGTCTGGGATGTGGAGACGGGCAACTGCATCCACACGCTCACAGGGCATCAGTCCCTCACCAGCGGCATGGAGCTCAAAGACAACATCCTGGTCTCAGGCAACGCAGACTCCACTGTCAAGATTTGGGACATCAAGACGGGCCAGTGCCTACAAACACTGCAAGGTGAGATTAACGTCCTAGCACGGTGCTGTGCACGCATTGCATTGTAGACATATTATAGCTTGGGCTACTTCCACAATGCTGCATTTTGCCTGTTGTCCACAGTTCTCCAGGGTTTTTGAGAAACTAAACTGGAGAAGTTGGGAAACGCTGCTTCTCCCGTCTTAGTTTGAAAACCCTGCGGCTGTGTTGTAGTGTGTACGGGCAGAAATGGAAATATTTGCAAACGATGACTCAGTATGCTTACCCCCAGCAGCAAAGACATGACATTGCACACGCTGGAGTACAATGTAACTGTAGCCAGACAGCTTTTAGTTTTTTATTGAGTTATTCATGACAATGTATTTACAGTAAGTGTAATACAGTCGTCTTCACCCAAATGAATAAGCACATGTCTGGACTTCAAACTGACAGTCCAATTAAAACCCAGACTGAATGGCCTGTTTGTGTGTGTGTGTGTGTGTGTGTGTGTGTGTGTGTGTGTGTGTGTGTGTGTGTGTGTGTGTNGTGTGTGTGTGTGTGTGTGTGTGGCTGTTCGGGGCCGACACCTTGTGGGTCTGCTGGTCCTGATTACGCTCTTGTGCCCTTTGTCTGTTTGAATAGCTCTAACTCCATTAGCAGCGCTGGTGCCTCACAGTGAGTTTGGAATCTTTTGCTGAAAAGCAGCGGCCACCACCGGTGGTGCCCCACCCGTAAATGCCCTCATTAACAAACTACATCGTTGCGAGCTGGTCCTCCAAACACACACACAGACACTGAACAAAAGGATGCCCCAGTGAGAGTCTGAAGAGAGGGTGGGATAAGACCAGGGGGAGGATGTGTGTGTGTGTGCTTTGTGAAGAGGGGGTGACTACAGTGAAGGGAAGAGGGTCGGAACTTTGTAGGTCATATAATTAGGTCAGTGGACAATTTCTGTCATTCATTTGGGTGTTTTGATAAGACAAAAGGCCAATAACAAGGCAGTGTCTGTCAGCTGGAGGGAGGAAAGGTATAGTGATGGAGCAGCCTTCTTTGTTGTGGTAATAGGGAGATGAGGGAGGTAGAGGAGGGGGAGAGAAGAAGGGATGTTGGGGGTTGTTTGCGGAGCAGTGTTGTACACATGGGTAAATAACGCAGCCTTTGAATTCACCCGAGACAGAATGAAAAAGATGGGAAAGCTTGTTGACGTTGAGATTTCATCACATTTTCGCCACAAAAAGGAAATAAATTAAACTCGTCTCTGTGAAATTGCTGCTATGGCGACGTCAGTAACGAAGAAAAATCTGTTCATTTACCAGCATTTGATTCAGAGCGTGTTTGTGTTTTGTGTTGCCCTAATTGATTTAATTAAGATATCATTTTCAAGGCCCTCGGGGAAATCTTAAAGTCACCGCTCACACTCGCAAATAAAGTCACCTCAAAGAAGGCGTTAACAGCCGCCATCTTCACTTTGAATGCCAGCGCACACACGCACACACACACACACACACACACACCAGACGGAGATAAAGCCGGAGCTGCGTAGCCTCCGTGACAGTGACAGACCCAAACATCTCACCGCAGCCCCTCCTGAAGCTTGACGACAGCAGGAAGACCTCACTGCTCTGTCACCGCTGCCTTGGGAAGAAGAGACAAGCGCTCTTCGTCTCTCAGGCTCACTGAGGGGTTTCTCTGAGTGCTTTTCTCTGTAGCTGAGTTCTTATGCAACAAATCTGTCTTTTTTTTTTTAATTCTCCCGTCTACCACTGTACTACTCACTGCATTACTCGAGTTATTAGAAATGACTGGAGTAGCTGTAGTCGCCCAGGTCATGTTTTTTTCTCCATAGACTGTATATAAAGATGGAAGGGGCATCTCCACTTCCTGCTGTGGTTCAAAAACTTTGATAAAACATGTCAGATATCAGCGCCCCAGTGTCAAGGTCCTGCTCATACACAGGCTCAACCGATTGGGAATCAGTCTCAGCTGTCGATCATGACATTTTAAACTTTTTTTAGAGCATCACATAATGAATTAAAATCAATGTTATCTGAAACATGAACACAAACATCAGCGTGATAAGAACTACCTTAAATGACAGAAACGATCTGGGAGAAAAATGTAAAGTGTATTTTGAAGTTTTAGTTTGGTCCATGTCTCGTCTGCTAACATGGAGGAGGCAGGGTTTATGACCTATACTGCAGCCAGCCACCAGGTGGTGATCAAGATTATTTGGCTTCACTTTTGGAAAGCTGCCATGTCGTCCATCTTTAAATACATTGTGTGGTGTCCCTGAACGAAACCTTTTAGGGTGGTTTGCCTCTCGTCCCAGGATCTATATCCAGTCCCAGGAGCAGAGAGGTTGTGACGGGCAGTAAATATGGATGAGGAACTAAATTTAGATCCTGGGTCCTTTAGCTGACGAACACAAAGTCTCTGTGTTCCTGCTGTGAAAAAGAAAAGTGTGTTTCAGTGTGTCGGTCTTCATCCCACTAACCATAAGTTGTCTCTGTGTGTTCAGGTCCACACAAGCACCAGAGCGCTGTGACGTGTCTCCAGTTCAACAAGAACTTTGTCATCACCAGCTCAGACGACGGCACAGTTAAACTGTGGGACCTGAAGACGGGCGAGTTCATCCGGAACCTGGTGACGCTGGAGAGCGGCGGCAGCGGCGGTGTTGTGTGGCGCATCCGGGCCTCCAACACCAAGCTGGTGTGCGCGGTCGGCAGCCGCAACGGCACAGAGGAGACCAAGCTGCTGGTGCTGGACTTTGACGTGGACATGAAGTGAGAGGGGACGTGGTGGGGAAGGACGAAGAGAGCAAACCGCAGAGAGGAACGAATAGAGTTGAGGCGCCTGGAGACCAGAGGGCCCGAAGCCAAGAACTCTTCACCCAAACAAATTCTACAACCACCACCACCAACAGTGGGCTGTCCAGTCCTCCACCATTATCTTCCCCGTCCCCCTCCTGGGTCAACGTTACTTAACAAAGCCACAGACCCTCACATGTGTTTAGCCCCTGCTTTTGACCCCTAGCACCACAATGAGGTGGAGACGTAGGGGATTGGGCTGGAAAAGGGGCAGAGGGTGGGGCATGATCAGTCTGTCCCTCGATTAGCCTGGAGAAAGAAGAGAAGACGAAGAAGAAGAAAGGAACGACTGATGACGACTGAACTTCTTTGAAGTGACTCTCCGCCCTTTCGGTCCGGGGTCAGCTTCGCACAGAGACTTGGTTTAGCTTCAAGCCTGACAGATTTTGAGATGTACAGAGATATATTATTTTTTAAAGCCCCACCCGCACATACACCCCTTCCCCGCCATCAGTATGCTCCCTCAAAAACACACACACACACACACACACACACACACACACACACACACACACACACACACACACACACACACACACACACACTCTCAAACCGGAAAGTAAAAAGCTTGAGGAAGGTGGGGGATGTTTTAAAGGTGAATTTCCACAGTTACACGTAAAGAGCTGCTCAATGTTAACGAGAGGATTCAGAGTTTTTGTTGTTTCTTCTCACTCCGTTTCCGTTCTTATCGTTTTTTCCACTCGGTTTCTGTAGTTTGGTTATTTTAACAATATCGCACACAATCACAACTGTGAATCTCAGTACCTTTTTGGTTTATCACATGAAAGGGGGTTTCTGTATTGTAGTGGGTTTTTTTTTTTTTCCTCTTTCCTTGCCGTTGCCAACAGCAACAAATCCCAGTATTAGAAACCTTCTTGGTTTAGGTTTGCTGTCGTTTTGTCACAAGTTTTTTTTGGGGGGGGGAGTTTGTTTGAGTTGTTTGTTCTTCCTTTCTGTTTTCTACATACCTGGGTTTGGAGCTCCGTCTCCACATCAACATCAGTGCTGTCCAGAATGTTTCAGTCTAGCTGGGGTGGGTTCCTCGAAGGCAGCGCTGTGACAAGAAGTAAACGTTTCTCTGCTCGCAGCGCTGCGGCTTAATGCCCCTGACACCCCCTCCCCTTGGCCCCTTCCCCTCTACTGTTCTCCCCAGTGGCCAAACTGTATTTATGCTGCTAGATGAATGGGAAAAAAGAGAGAGATGGAACTCTTACTTGCTGTGACGTTTTAGTCCCAGGCGAAATTCCAAAACGAACTCTGTGTGTTTGGACTTAAAGAGAAGATGACAAAAGATGAACATCCAACATTTTTGTTTTTGTTTGTTTTTGCCACTGAAACTTGAGCCAAACGTGCCTCTACGAGGCTGAGAGGAGGGAGCGTGTCCGACAGATACTGACGGGATCGCCTGCAGAGAGGAAACAAGCAGATGTACACTGTTGGCGTGCGTGTGTCTGTGTGTGCGGCGTGTGCATGAGTACGTGTGTTAAGCGTGTTAATGGGCAACTTGTAAACACATTCCTTGGGACAAAGCTCTTTCAGCCTGTTCTTTGGGGAAATGTACAAATGCTGTGTGGACTGGCAACGAAAAAAAAAACTAGCAGACGTATCAACTTTACCACATGAATGAAAGAACTGTCCGTTTCCATGTGCGATTGCTGTTCCACTCAAAGATGTCCGAAGCAACAGAGGAGACCATCACAAGCATCAGCTGACGGGCGGAGCCGCCGGGAGTCGTAGTGTTACACGTGTCGCAGTTCAAATCACCGCGGCCGCAGCCTCGTGGTTCGTCAGCGGGAAAAATAAAAACACAAAAAGGCAACAAACGTGAACTGAAGCATTGTAGCCAAACGAAAAATCGTCTCAATCTCTAAAGAGTCACAACTCGAGCTGAACTGTGAAAGTGGTATAACACTGTATATTAAAAAAGAAAAAAGAAAACAATCTTGCTCTATCTCCTCTCGTTGTTTTCTCCCTCTGTTTTAATTTATGATCTGGTTTGAGAAATCAGATTTGTTGCAGGTGTTTTATTTTTTCAGTTCATGTAAACTGCCTGGCAAAAAAGAAAACAGACAGAAAAAACCTTAAAGGGATTGTGTATTTGTTTGATTCACTTAGAATTTTATTTTCTTATAACTTAAGTGCAATAAAATGTGGGTTTTTCTTTTTTCATTTCAAGCATATCAGTTGTCTGTTTTTGTTACCTGTGTGAAGGCATCTTATATGTTCAATAAAGCAAATTATTTGATTAATTATATCCACGAGGGAATAATTCTAATATCAGACGCAGAGCAGGTAAAATACATCAAACTTAGATTCTCTGAATGAGTTTTCTTCTGTGGCAGCTCGACTGGATCCAGATTAAGGAACGAAACTGAAACGGTTTAATCTTTTATGTTCAGTTAGTTTCTCAGATTTTGATTATGTGAAAGAATGAACAAGCGGAACTCTATATTTTTATTTTCTTAGAGCGTATAGTAAAAAAATGACTAAAACAAAGGCATTTATCTGCCTCATTGCTGTCAGAAAAGTGAAATATCACAAAAAGCAGTTAAAGAAAACATATTTTTGAAGAATTGTTCATAAATCATGTGACTTCCACTGACGGCAGCAGAGGAAAACATCATGGCTGAGTTCAGCCTGGATGAAATGTGGAAAAACGTGTATTTAAACGTAAACTGTGGCAGCTGAGAAGGTCAGCCATGGCGTTCTTGTAGAAGAAATGTCAGAGGTAGATGACATGGGTTTAAATAGATGTCACAGTCTCTGGTTTCACTAAAAACCAAACAGCAGCTGCTGCACTTGAGAAACCGTAAGAGTCCTTATGTGCGCTTCCTTTTTAATACGGCGGGTTTATACACATGTCGCTGCAGCACCTCTGACACACCCACCAAACGAGAGGAAACGCCTGCTCATTGCTCACATGTGGTTCAACCTGGAACCTGCAGCAAAATGTTTTCAGCTTTTAATTCACACATCTCTTCTTCTGTGGTGGTTTTTTGGGACCTGACACCAGCTGCTGTTTAACTCGATGCTCTCCAGATTGTATCGTCCGCTCATTTGTGTTTCCTTTTGCAAATAGTCTCGAAATCCACTTTAAAGTTTGCGCAAAATTTAGAAATTACATTTGGCCTATATCTCAGAACCCCAACTATTGCTTCATACAGAGGATGAAAACCTTTAAGTTCTTTTCATGCTCGATTATTTCCCAAGAAAAGTCCTAAACTTTTCCAACACAAGTAAACGGAGCATGTATTGGCGACGCTTTTCTCTCCTGTGAATATTTATAGCAGCGAGAGCGTGTTACGTGAAATTGACCCAAAATAAACCACAGTGCTCTTGTTCATGAAGGAACAAAGGAGCTCAACAGCACAGAGGAATAAGCTCTTTGGCTTCGGCCTTTCTGGCGACACGTTGGTGACATCACTGTTTTTTTCCGGGGATTTGTTGACGGTGAATAATAACGTTTCACCAGCTCTGTTCTTTCAACTGCTCGATATCACAACAATGGTGCCTGTGTAAAGTTTAACAGAGCTTGTCAGGACGTCCCGAGAAACTTTGATATTCTAATGAAGAAAACAAAAAGTTTAGCGATGGCAAATTGAAGGTGTTATTCTGGCATCAAGGAATTTGTGGCAGTCGTGAAATCTTCTTTTTCATGATCGTCTGATTGTGAAGATAATCAATGGCTTCAACCTTGAGCTGGGTCATGGGCCAACAAACAGATTCAATTTCAGTTTATTCCCAGTTCTTTGGAATGGCCAATCTCTCGGCCTGTGGTGATGCTGGCTGAAGCTTTTCTTCCCCAAACTAACACAGTGACCTGCAGGAATTCAGCCACGGCCGATAACCTCACACATGCCAAGTGTGAACACGATCAGACGAGCTGTTGATGTGCGATAGATGACATCAAAGCCTCACTACTGAGTTCAACTACAGCCAGATTTTTCTTTTTCTAGACTCTATTCCAGCAGCAGATTAAATATTTATAAAGATGTTTTTATTCTTCAGTCGCAGGTTTAAAAGACTGTGCAGCCTCAGAGCTCCTGTTTGTTCTCTCCAGTCTCTCCTTGCTTTTGTTGTTGTGTTGTTTTCACTAAATGTTTTTTAACTCACAGCATGACGCTCCAAATAAAACTAATCTTAAAATAGGTACCCTGAAGAGGCAGATGTGAGATTTAGTCCCATTAAGAATCGTATTTGAAATTCCAGTGTTTCTTATTAAGTGTTATCTTATTAAAAGAGATTAATCTCCCCTTTAGAAAACGATAATGAGTTTTTTTTTCTTTTTCTTTAAGTGCTTAATTTAATTCTTGTTTTTCAACCTACTTGGATAATTTATGCGCATTCAGCCTCAGTGAAGCTGGAACATGTTGATTCCCTCGGAGCCCTCGGCTCCATCTAAAGCTCGGAGGTGACCGGGGAACAATCTGAATGCGACCCTTTGTGTTTTGTTTTGTTTTTCTATTCCTGGCCAGTGTCAATTATATCCTAACGGTTATCTGTCATTAGCCCATACAGCTCAGTGCAGCAGCAGAGTTCGTGCTGCGGATTCCCTTCTGCCTGTTGCCTAGCGATAGCTCGTCTCTGGCCCGGCCTCAGAGCTCAGTGTGAGCGATATTGTGAGGAAGCGGCGAGGGCTGTACATCCTCACATGAATGGACGCGTGGGGGAGTTTCCACTTTGGTTGGCAAGGTTACTGTGTGCGCCTGTTTGTTCCCAGGCTCCACTCGTGTGTTGTGTAAGCAGCAGCTCTGCACCACTGACTGGTCCTGGACGATGGTGATCCACTCTCCCCGACTGAAAGTGTTCAGAAATGAGACTCCAGCTTATCATCAAGTATTTTGTTAATTGAATTGCTTTGCTGCAGCAGCACTGCGGCTCTGTGAGCGGCTCCATCAGGGCATCAAGGCTCCGACACCAGACTCAAACATGTCCATCACTATCGGATGGATAAAGGTCCCACCGACGTTCCAGGATGTTTTTAGAGCTGAGTTCTCTCTCTGCTCAATCTATCGTAAAATCTTACAAAGCATAAAGACGGTTTATAAAGATGGACGACACGTCTCCTCTTCCTCTTACTAAACAGAACTTAAGCTAAAATATCCCAGATGCAAACGCTGCCATCTTGCACGTAATAACGTCTTTTGGAGCTGTAGCCTGCACAGTGGTGATTGTGGGGGGGGGGGGTACACACACTTGATCAACTTCATGTCCGTATCAACTGTCAGTCAGGGTGTTTCACCCTGTTTTTATAGCATCAGACAACTCATGAAACAAACATCGATGTGATGGGAACAACCTAAAATCACAGAAACCATTTTCTTGTTCTTTGACTTTTTTTAGTTTGGTCCATATCCCATCCAATAACATGGAGGAGGTGGCTTCACTTTTGGAGCGGTCTTGCTAACATGACTGTAGATGAGTCTTCAAATACTCGTTAGTTAGAGCTTTGCTCCTTTTATCAGATTTATATCATAAGGAATATATCGTGATCTTTTTTTCCTATTTGAAAACTGATATTTCATCTTGAATTCTGGGAAAACATGATAAGAATTTTTTTCCAGTATTTTTGGACATGTGAGTGAAAAAACATCAGTGAAGGATCTTTACTCTGCTCTACACAAAGACCCTGAAAGGAGAAGGTGTAACTAATGGACGGATGTTCCAGATCACGTGAGTCAGTGTCGCTCGAGGCTGGAGATTAAAAGTTAGAAGATGCAAAAACAGAAAAAAGATATGTGTGGAATTTGAAAGAAGTGAGTTAATCAGACGTCGGTAATCTGCTCCTCATCTCTGCCTGAGGCCACATTAGCCACTAATAACACAGCTGACTGAACTGTGAGCAGAGGAGGTGTATTGTGGGTAATGTAGGCGTAAAATCAATCAAAATCCTTTAAAGTAAGTGTCACCACGGTGTGAAGCATGAAGTGAAACAAGGCCCCTGTGACTTGAACAGTATTAAATTATTACTGATGCATTGAGGTCAATGTGGAGCTAGTTTCATACTTATTCACAGGCCTGGTAGTTTAGTGCAGTGGTTCCAAACCTGCGGGTTGACCCCCTCCAAAGGGTCCCAAGATGAAGCTAAAGGGTCATGAGGGAGGAAGGATGAAGGGAGGAAAAGAAAGGTAAGAAACCTTTTTATTCTTCTCCCTCATGTTTTGTGAAATAATGTTTAATTTGAGAATATTAGAGAGGAAATGTCTCTTTGAAATAACTGAAACGGGAGAATGACACTACAACTTTTAATTCAACTAATGTGTTATATCTGAGTATTGTCTCACTGCATTCATGCTTCTCAGAGAACCAGGGTTACACAAGCAACCTCTGTTTTTTTAAATTTATTTTTTATGTACAATTGGTTTTGAAAAGTAACTTGGAACTCAAGCTGCCAGATGAATGTAGTGGAGTAAGTTCCTCAGCTCTGGCTCCATTTGTCGGAACCTGAACTAACTGGAGCCTCATGTTGTTGGATCAGTAGGAAGTAGAAATATAAAGAAGAAAAAAAAGGAAATACTTTAAATTTGTATCTAAGTATAAAGTAATTGAGTGAGTGTGTTTATTTACTTCCTACCACTCCCAGAATACAACCACCAAAGAATCCATTATAAAAAATAATTATTGGCTGCAGCTCTTTTATAATTGAGATTTTTCATGAATAAATTGTAATTTTCCTGGAGAGAAGACGTTGAACGGTTCATATATCGTAACAAACAAGACGACGAGGATGAGGAGACACTGATGTATCTCTTAAGGTCGTCTTTAATGAACTTAATCTCAGGAGGTGATGAATCATCTCATTCCTTCAGGTTATTAGCCATTCATCTACCTTACGCTCACAGCCTCCATCGCTCCGCACTCCTTCCTCTTGATGAATGAACGTCTCTCCCTCGGCTCACGTGAACCAGGTCTCAGCTCTAACTCATCCAGCGACCAACTTAC